GGTGTGTAAAATGTGTTCTCAAAAAGCCTAAGGTGCAACAGGAAAAAAACAGCATTCATACGATAAAAACCGTTTCAATCACAGTTAAGTCTGAATCATAATCTATACATTTTTCTCCTTAATAAATCTCACTAAAACATATGATCTGTTAATAAATATAATAAAACTAGCAAGCCATGTTTTGCTTTATGCATAGACATGCTTTATACCGATGTAGAGATTGCTGTATAATCACTGGCTGTTTACATGAAAATGAAAAATTGCTGAATGTAATGTGAAATACAATGAACAGGATTTTTGATATGTATTTAACACTTCATGTATCGTGATTTATTTTTTTTATTCGTTTGTTTGAATGGAATTAAATTTATGCCAAAAGTATTGAACGTAACGTTTCAAGAAACAAACAAAAATATACAATGAGAGAGAAGAAAAGACTCTGAAACTGAAAACAATGAACTCGGTGGCAAAAATTCAACATGGTCTTCGAATAAACAGTATTCTTTGTTAACAGTGTTCTAAGCTTCTTTTCCACTAATCATGGTTTATGAAACCGTTGCCAGAGTTTTTATTTATGCTTTCAAAGTTTTCGTTTATGCTCCACAAGTCTACGATCGCCATTCTGGCACAAACCTCTCATGTGGGCGGGGCTTAACAGATTTACTCTCATTGGCTAGTGACGACGTTCCGTGCCACTCCTGAGAGCTCATCTCGAAATATTAGTCGTATGAGACTAGCCGAACTTCAAAGGTGAATTACGAACTAATATATTGACTAAGTAAGTAATTTCTACTACAAAGTACAAACACTATAACTATACAGAGAACCTCATCCAGAACGCTCTCCAAAATTTACAGCACTGGTCAGAGAGCCGTCAATCCAAATCTCATTAGCCAATGACAGTAAATTGTTGTTAAGCCCCACCCACACGTGAGATTTGTGCCAGAATGGTGAACGTAAACTTGCGGAGTAGCGCGTTCATAAACGTTCATTAGTGAAAATTAAGCTTAGAAAACTGTTCCCGAAGAATAATGTTTATTTGAAGACCATGTTCAGTTTTTGCCGCCAAATTCATTGTTTTCAGCTTCAGAGTCTTTTTTTTCTTTCTCGTTGCATATTTTTTATCCGCTTCTTGAAAACTAACGTGCAATACTTTTGGCATCAATTTAATTCCATATATTTGTGTTTGTTTGTTTGTGCTCTAATGGACATCTCCCATAAAATTCAAGCCACCAGCAACTGTAGATGTATTTCATAAAAACATCCTGTTATGCACACTCAAGAATGTGAAATTAAAACCACAAAATTAAGCGACGGTGTCCTTATGTATGTATTTAAAGGACCCTGTTATGAATGTGCTAATTTACCTATCTCCGATTTCCATCTTTAGCAATTCCCACCAGTTTGCTTTGATTGTACATTACCATCATGTATATTTGACCTTGAAATTGTACTTGTTTATTTATTTATAATTTTTGTAAGTATTCATCTGTATAGCTTTTGCTTATTTATTTGCTGTAACTATTTAATTAGTTGTATTACATTTCAATATGTTAAGCTGGAAATTTATTTTATATTTATTTTCTTACTTTGTTTTTTGGTGTATATTTTTACTGGAAGAGAAAGGTTAGTGTGAGATCCTTTTAAAAAGTAGCTACCGATGTTAATTCTCCACTATTAAGTCATGCGTATATGTGTCAGTCTACTGTTATTAACTGGCTTCATCTTACGGAAATAAATACTTCAGTATTCAGCACTCTGTCCTTATTGAAGTTCAGTTGTTATATTTCCATTTTGGGTTTTTTTATGTTCATAAATGACAAATTACACTGATTTAATCAAAGTAAAGATTAATGAAGTTTTCACAGGTGTAAAAGTAACTTTATTTATTTATTTATTTATTAATATAAGCCTTTTAAATCTTAGCAATCTGTTTCAAGACACATCGAGAACACCACTGGTTCCTTCTTTCTCACCTTTAATTAACAGCTGCTTTCACACACAAAAGTAAATCTCAATATGCGTATACAGTATATGTGTTTGGTGATATCTGAAAAAGTGTATATACCGTATATCCGAGCACACAAAATGGCGGACGCGGGTCTGAAAAACAAAACAAATAAAGATGCATGTGTGAGTGAAGCTGCATGTGTGTGTGCGTAGGTATGTGCAAGTGTGTTTGGCGTGCCTGCTGTGCGTCTGTCTGCATCTCATTTACACTCCCACATTTTTCACACCACCACCTTGCACTCTCTGCTCTATAATGAAATCATCATTTTCATTTTTCTCTCGCTCTTTCACACTCACACTGAGTGACAGAACCTGAAATTTCACTTTGCCCAGGGCATGGAACCAAATAAAGTTTTAAAGTATTTATGAGGGCATTTACTGGGCCCTAGTTGGGTCAAGGCACAGCTAATGTTGCCAGGAGATAGAGAGCGCATGCACTGGGAAATGTGTATGCTGGGGTGTGTGTGTGTGTGTGTGTGTGTGTGTAGTGTGTGGTGAGGGGACAGAAAGAGATTTAAAAGAAAAGTATTAAATCTGTCACGGTCTTAGCTAGCAGTCACTCCTGTTCTGAAGGCCCTGGTTGACAGCAGAAGCAACTCCACAGTGTAGACTATTGGTTTAGTATCCGTTTGTTTGGCGTTTTCATTTGTTTTGACTGTTCACATGTTTAAACTGCTCCTTTGTTTTGACTGTTCAGGTCTCAGACTCTGTGTTTCCCTTTAGAAGGAAGTGTGTTTAAAAGTCAGCAGGTCTTTGATTAATAACAGTGTTTTTGAGAGGTGCGGGTGTGGGAATGACTCTTTATCTCGTGTATACATGTGTGTTTGTTCTTTTATGGTCCCCACAAAGAACAAAATGACATTTTGAGGACATTACCATGTTCCCATTGTCATGAGGAACAATGTTTTTGTGGTTTTTTTTGTTGTTTTTTTACACCAGCACAGCTTATACCTGGAATATACTGTATACATGAAATAATTTGTCTTAACTCTGTTGCTGCATCCCAATTCGTCTATTTATACTATGCACTCTTTTAGTGAAGGAAAAAGTACATACTTTTGAATGTGTATCAAAAATGTACTGGGACATACTAACATGTCATGTCGTTGCCTAGTTACACACACTGTCACTGTAAACACACTCTTTATTGCATTTCAGCTTTTCTTTATTCATTATACCTTATATAATTTATACTATCCATCCATCCATCCATCGTGGTGCCCTGCGATGGACTGGCACCCTCTCCAGGGTGTACCCCGCCTTGTGCCCGATGCTTCCTGGGATAGGCTCCAAGTTCCCCGCAACCCTGAAACGGAGTAAGCGGGTGAAGATGGATGGATGGTTCAGCTTACTCTCTGAGTTATTTTCACATTGTGGACAACTTTTGGTTATTGGATGGATGGATTTATAATATATAATTTAATTGACCTTTCCCTTGATTAATTTTTTTTCCACATTTCATTTTCACCTCTCTAAATTATGCAGCACCATCGTTACAATGTGGTGAAGCAAAACATCACAAAGCTCCTCCTGAAACAAGTGTCCACAGATCCACACTTCAAAAATCTACCAGGAACAGTAGACCATCTGGGTACCTTTGGGATACTCATTTCAACATACTACCATTTGGGACATACTAATTCTAATCACGGACACTATTTAGGATGGATAGTAGATGAATTGAGATATAGCATTGGCAGGTTTTTATTTACTGACAAACAGGTTGTTATTATTGCTCCAAATGTGTATAATTAATCCTTTCAGACGGCCTACTTTTGTACTGGGAAGAATTTGTGGTTATGCCGATTAACATAGTTATTCATAGGTCGGGGGTTCAAGCCCCAGCACAGCCAAGCTGCCACTACTGGGCCCTCGAGTAAGGCCCTTAACCCTCACTGCTCCAGGGGCGCTGTATCAAGGCTGACCCTGTGTTCTGACCCCCAACTTCCTAACATGCTGGCGTATGGGAAGAAAAGGATTTCCCTGTGCTGTAATATATATGTGACAAATAAAGAATCATTATCATTATTAGCTCTGTTTCCATCCATGTATTTTTATGCGAATTTTGGCATATCTCATAAAAAATGCTGGATGGAAACACCAGATTAAAATAAAATCTCAAAAATGTGCATAAAAAACTTGTGTTCAATTGAGGAGGATGTTTTTTTTATTATTTGATAAGAAGGCATGTGTATAAACTATAATGGAAACACATTTACCGAATAAATTCCTCGATGCGCATAAAAAAAACTGACTTTGCCTCAACAAATCATGTGATTGGGTAATTGGCTGATGCGATCGGATATTCAGCACTTGTGGCCGACTTATACAGTACAATGTCAATGCTTTTTTTCTGTGGGAACCGAGGCGTGGTGGGTCGGCATAACTGCACTACACGGCGGACCAGTCTTGTTCCGTAGCTTTTCAAATGTTTTTGTCATTCTGAAATGTCTGAGCCAAAGTCTGTCATCGAAATGATTCAGTGCAATTATCTCCCAGAACTGTCTCACATTATTCCGTTCCCAAATATCAGCCATCCGCCTCCGATCTCATTACGTTTCTAATGGCGTTTTGTCTGCGTCATTTATTATATTGGAAAAAATTATTTAGCCACACTGGCTTCCCCAGTTGCAACAACTTCCATTTGTATTGATACTTTTGCACCAGTTTCCCCTAGAAGTGACGATTTTGTTCTCTTGAATATCCATCCATCCATCAATCTTCTATGCCACTTATACTTTTCAGGGTCACGGGAAACCTGGAGCCTATCCCAGGGAGCATCGGGCACAAGGCGGGGTACACTCTGGACAGGGTGCCAGTCCATCGCAGGGCACAATCACATACACACTCACACACCCATTCGTACACTACGGACACTTTTAAACATGCCAATAAGCCTACCAGGCATGTCTTTGGACTGGGGGAGGAAACCGGAATATGCGGAGGAAACCCACGCAGTACGGGGAGAACATGCAATCTCCGCACACACAGGGCCACGGTGGGACTCGAACCCCCGACCCTGGAGGTATGAGGCGAACGTGCTAACCACTAAGTCACTGTGCGCCCACAAATGTTTTATGCGATATTTAAATTTTTCTCATAAGTTCAATTTGCAACTTGGATGGAAACATGGCTATTGTATCCACAATTACCTTTTACTGTATTGCTCCAGTGTTTGAAAGCTGGATAAGACTTTATAGGTTGAGTATAACACTACAAAGGTAGTCCAATACCCAAAAGTGCTAAATATACAAATATCTTGACAAATTCTAAAGCAGGCTAAAAAATCTTTACTGATTATTTACCAATGACCCAAAAACTACCCTAAACTAAACTAAAATGGAGTTGGGAGGGGGGAGTTATGAGACAGTGACATGCCGAGTGGATGAGGGTCAAACCAGTGGGCTGTGTGTGTGTGTGTGTGTGTGTGTGTGTGTGTCTGTATGATCTCCCCAGCAATGGCACCAGAAGAGAATAGTACTCTCACAGCAGACAAGCTGAACATACACCCTTACAAACACTCTACCTCCTTTGTTTTCACACACACACATGCTTCTCTCTCTCTCTCTCTCACTCTCTCTCTCTCTCTCTCTCACACACTCTCTCACTCTCTCTCTCTCTCTCTTTCTCTTTCTCTCTCTGACAAACAGACTGATGACAGCAGCATTACACATTCCCCTGACCTAAACCATAATTATCTCAGCCCTACAATCCAGTCCCTCATCATCACACCATTAGTGTCACCCACCTCATACTCTGCTCACACACAAGCACACACACACACACACACACACACACACACACCCTTACATCAGAAACACATTTAGAGCACAGAGCAGACAGACCCTGAATAGGATGATCTGAAAGAGGGAAAACACCAACAGGGACACCTAGAGGCCACTTTGAGTATCTGCAGAATAGCTTTCAACTGCCATTAATTACAGAAATTGGATTAATCCTGAACAATGAGCCTGAATAATGGTTTGAGAGTGATTAAAAAGAAGTCGATTTTTTTTTCCCTGTGAATAAATTCTCCTTAATTAACTCCAGCTGGTACTGGAAGAGAATTTGCTAGCGGTCTAAGCTGGAGGTAGTAATTATCATAGTACTTGTGGTTGAGAATACGAGGTCACTTTGGTCATTTTACTCACTCAAATGTCATCGTCTGTACCATCCCACTCGAAAGAGCAGGCCTGTTTAATCTCCTCTTCCTTTAGTCACTGGACAAATTATTTTTACAACATCCTGTAATTAAACCTTAGGCTAGTAACTAATGGGTGAAATGTCAAGGAAAAACAGAGGGTTTTCATTAACGATGGATCTCAGCATGCTTGCGTGTGTTTGTGTGCTGGGTTCGGGGGGTGTTTTTGTTGTCCTAAACTGGGGTTGTTGTTTATTTTTTCTGTTGTAGTTATTATGGTTAAAACATGGGAAGGGAAATGTCTTATTCAGACCCCCTCTGACAGTTAAGGTTTACATACAATCTTCACTATTTTGGCTAGTTTCTGTGGCTAGTATTTGTGTAACTCCAAAGTACTAGCAAATTGCTTCAACCCTCATGTTTAACTTTGGCTTTATTGTTTTTCCTACGAGTATCATGCACTTGCTTCTGGTCACTTGGTGGCAGAGGTGAGAAGTAAAAAAGTGCAGTTACTTTTTTCCTGTATTTAAAGGGAAAACTCCCTGAAAAACTTGCACATTAATCATTATGATTAGCATACGATCTTCAACCGTGCCCGATGCTCCCTGGGATAGGCTCCAGGTTCCCCGTGACCCTGAAAAGGAGTAAGTGGATGGATACGATCTTCAATGGTGTCCAAGATTTATTTTATAATGGGTTTTTTTCCATCAATATCCATCCATCCATTTTCTGTACCGCTTACGTTACACAGGGTCACTGGGAACCTGGAGCCTATCCAAGAGAACGCAGGGCACAAGGTCGGGTACACCCTGAATGTGGTGCCAACCCATCGCAGAGCACATTCACACACTACAGACAATTTAGAGATGCCAATCAGCCTACAACACATGTCTTTGGGCTTGGGGAGGAAATGGGATTACCTGGAGGAAACTCCTGAAGCACAGGGAGAACAGCTGTTGCTCTTTAGTTTACTGGAGCTAACAGTGAAACCTGACTGTTATCCCGTATGTTCAGGATTTTATCTACTATTACACTCACAGTGTAACTGCTCATACTCACGTATCACAGTAATAACAAAAATACAACACCAACAGACAAATTAGGACAAGAATAAGCTCGTCTCACTAAGCTTAAGACAAATATTTCACACAAAAAAGTTTCTGTATGGATTTGTCATTGAAGTCTGTTTTTATGAGTGTGTTCTTGAGTTTTTCTTTCACCTCATTCTATTGACTTACTACATTTCAAGAGAAAAATCTTTACTTTCTACTCATTACACGTTGAAACATCACTACAAATCTCTATTTCCATGTACTGTATACTCCTGGGCAAAAAGCCCAAAATGGTCAAATATTAAGTCAGGAAATGAGCAAGCATTAAACAAATAGATAAAGAAACTTTTCCCTTTGATTTCTTTAAATGGTTAAGCCTTGTGGGTGAACTTGCAGACAGCTTTTTATAAAAAAATATATATATATATTTTTTTTAATGTTTATTTTATTTTTGTACACCCAGACATGTGTTAGTTTGAAGTATACATCAAACAATCATTATCACAATTTTACCTTTTGCGTGCGAGACCATGTACGACTGTAAACATATTGGAACATGTACTTAGGCCAATTCTATTGTTTTTGCAACTCATCGAAGACCTTTGGGTTTGAGATAAAAAGATGAATGAGGCGGTGAATCAGAATTTCAGCTGTCACTTCATATTTACATCTAGATGTGTTAAATGACTTAAAACCTGGCACCTTTTGTGGAGGACCACCCATTTTTTTAGGTGAGAAAAAGTATAGGACCATATTGTCTTACAGTAACGTACTCTATGGTCTCATATTTATCTTTTGATCTCAAACCCAAATGTCTTCAATGAGTAGTAAAAACTATAAAATTGGCCTTGCTGTTCCAATACATTTGGTGGGGCTGTAAGTTAATTTCCCTCTTTCTAGCATTTTCCACAAACGGTTCAATGCAGCAAAAGTAAATGAGCAAATGGTGACAAAGGTCTCAGTAGTGCACTTAAATTATTATTATTATTATTTATTATTTATATATATATATATATATATATATATATATATATATATATATATATATATATATATATATATATATATATATATAATTTTCTGACCACTGATTTATTGTTAAGACGATTAAAATCTTAATACTTTACCATTATGCGCTTGGCCAACAATTGATTGCCCAAGAGTGTATTTGTCCGAAGATGATGTTTAAGCATCAGACACCTTCAAAGACTTGCTCTAAATTCCTAACTAATCTAAACTTTAACACATGACAGCTGGAATGAGACTTAATTCCTATAACAACCTGTCATTTAACTGTTGCTGTATACACTTTGTATTTAGCAAGACTGTTTGAATTGTGACAGCTAGTTATTAGCATTAAGCTAATATGTGTTGTCACAGTTATTATCATGCTAGCTAACATCTGAGAGGTTATGAATAAAGCTGCATGCGTTCCCGCAATCCTTGTTTTGTTGTTACACTAATTTACCATTATTAACTACAATCAGTGTGCGTTTTGAGGCAGATATGAGACTTTTTCTTTTCTGAATCTTTCAGATACCTCAAAAAAATGTAACAGTTTATACAATTCTTCTTGGGTGAAAACGTTAAGGCTGTGCTTCAACTTTATTTAGATGAGTAATTGTACTGTAACCGGAGTCAAAAATTTGGGTACCACCTCTGCTTGGTGACGTGCCGGCTCCTTTAACAGCTGCTTGGATTGTAATCTGCCTCAATTGGATAAAAGCGCCTTCTAATTAAATAGAAGTAAATTTAAATTGTCCGAGCAGAGAATATCGGTCCAGCAAAGGGAGTGTCATGTGCAATTTCAGTTAAGTCATTTATCCTGTCTGATCCAAAATATGATGAAGGATGACTCCTAGCTCAGCCCATGTCGCAGCCAATCTTCCTAATAGAGGGGCAATTATCTGACTCAGCTTGATCAGAACAGCACAGCTTAGTGTAGTTACATTCATTGTATTCATCCCTTCCTCCTTCATCCTTTCAGCCTTTCTCCCATACACAGAAGACAGTGCTAATTAGTAATGTTGCTCAACAACCTTTTAAAATGAACTAGTACTAAAGAATATTGAACTTTCTAGTCAAAATATATGACAAACTGTAATGACTTTTTCCCCCAACAAATAAAAAAATGAGACAAGACTGTCTGGACAGAGGTGAATCTTTTTTCTCATCTTTGCACATTCAATTCACAGATAAGTATTTAGTAATTACAGAAGGGAACCACTTATTAGTAAGGATGTACTGTTTGAGAGGTGGGTGCAAATATCATTGCATAAACATTTAATACAAAATTGCATTTTGGATGCATGCATCCAAATGCAGGGATTATAGATGTATAAACATTTAATCTATTGCCATAATTTAAAAAAAAAAAAAAAAATTAGATGAGAGCCACCGTACTGTTGCGTTGCTAGCAGCTGACAGCTACAAATAACCAATCCATCTGTTTGGTCTTGATTTGTTCTGCATGGCTGTCCATATGCTTTATAGTAAAATTTGGTTTAAAAACATGTGGTCCAGTCCAGATGTGTTTTGTAAGTGCAATTCCAGCAAAATGCAATGTTTGTTTTTAATATGCAGAAAGAAACAAGTGTAGACAGCAGCAGTGTATGGTTTGATTAAAGTGGGTACATTGCAGAGCTCACCACTTTAGCCCAGGAAAAGCGTCTTAATTTTTTATTTTTTTATTTTTAAAATTTATTTTTGTTTTTTTTAGCATATATGATTATATCAGTTTCATTAATGTAATGGGTTTGCTTAAATTTTTTGTGTCCGTTCACTTTTAGTTAATTTTAGTGTCAGTTAAGTTTGAGTTCATCATAGTTTCTCAGGGGGTTTTAATTATTTTAGTATCAGTTGAGTTTAAGATC